CAGCGATGAGATGAGTAGCTTAAGTGGAGGAAGGACGATCTACTGATTCTAACGATGAAAATTACTCCGAGTGTTAAAAACTAATTTACGAAAATGTCTCTTGTTATATTTCATCAATTGTTAAAGCGACATTCGTTTCTATAAGGCAGATTTTGGTGATGTTAATAATGTGCGTATATTCCGTTCAGCGATGCTGCGTATTTTCCGCTCAGCGAAAAATAATAAGAAATTCCGGGCAAATGTATTTTTTGTGTCCTTTCCCATTTTCACCGCCGCACCAGTACCGACACTTCCGCACCAGCGCACCACACCAGTGTTTCTTATTGTGCCCTGATGTGTGGCTGTTCTGGCACAATGCCTGTCCAATGCAGTAATTGTGGGACGAGCAAAACTATGCCCTTAATAATTCAAGTTTAATTCGCCACATAGTCTACCACAACGCAGTTCATTACGTGATTGTGCGTGCTTCGGCAGCGAATATTCATGTAGAAAATTATCCAGTTCAGTGCAGGTGTTTCAAGCAGTAATGAGATTTATGATCTCAGAAGATGAAATGTGGCAAAATAATGTACACGGGTAACACTACAGAATACGATTGACAACAACGCTAAGCAAAAAGTCCAGAAAGAGCATGGTTTCGCTACTTTGGATCCACTTCCCATTGAAATGTTACACGGATAGTTTTCTTCGTCTTCATCGATTTCATCCAAATGTGTTTTAGCGCCTTTTGTTGTTGACGCTGTTCTCGTAATTACTTTCACTTTCCGATCTGCTAATTTACTCGCCGAAATGTTCAACGGCCCTGTTCCTGTTACTGCTACAGTTGTTCGCAGTGTTGATATTACTGTTGTCGTTATTGCTGCCGCTGTTGTTGTTGTTATTATTGTCGTTGCTGTCTTCTTTGGTACTGGATTTGTTAACGTTGTTGTTGCCGTTGTTAGTGTTGTCGTTGTTATCGTCGTAGCGTCGATTATTGTAGCCTGCATTAAAATAACATCAAATGGTCAGCGTCAACAACTAAGCAAACTCGGCAACAGTTAATCTAATTGATCGGCGCTTAATAAATACAGATTAAAATTAAGAGCCCTGATCGCAACCGTAGCTGTGACGTATAATAGGGGAAGTGAAATTTTACTTCGATAAGCATAAAAGCATCTTTCTGCACTCGTGCTTCGCACGAAGATCGCCATGACCGCTATGCTAACAGTCACGGCAGCAAATACAGTCTTGGGAAAAGATAAGCATTAGCTGACAACGTTGCTACAGAATAAACGGTTGGAATATTTTTGCTGCGGGCATTGCTATGCGAATAGCCCCATCGTTTTAGAACACAGCACTGGGCCCCTAGAAGAAAGCAGAGAATTCAGTATCACGCCCCTCTTTCATCAAACACATCTCCTACTCACCGCTCATGTCTTCCCGCCCCTGCATCAATCCTTCTACAAACCGCTGTTTTGCGTTGTAGAGCTAAAGAAGCTTCCTTGAAGTCATCAGTAACATGTAAAGGTCAGTTCTCATCTCAGAAATTAGGCTCATTTACGACTTTTCAGTACTCTACACAAAAGGCACTCGGACGAGATCATTTGTAAGTGCTTCTTGACGCACATACATTTTAATCCGGGTGGAAGTTTATATATAAATTATATATACGTATAAATTATATATGCATACATACAGGAGAATGGAGCGTGCATGGAGCGGATGAAGAGAGGAAGTGACAAGCAAGAATATCCATAACGAATCACTAAGAAAGCGACGCTGACATGTCAGGAGTGGGGAGACGACTGGACGCAGCCCTAGAGCACCACGCCCGAAACCCTACGGAAATGGAGCTGCAGTGCTCACGCATGAACTTGTCCACCTCTTACGAGAAGAGTCCAGCGCTACTGAATCGACCAGACAACGCGATATGCCGGACAACCTTAAAGAGCAGAAATTTCCAGAGCAGATAACTCAATGAATTATGCTAACCGCACCATTTGACGGCAGACTTTGGTACTGTTGCGCGACTACGCAAAATTCGGTTTTATAAGCGCTACAATAGCCTATGCATATGCAAATTAGGAGCAACCAGTGGCGCGTACCAGCGCCACTGTGTCATTCTTAAAGCGCACTAATCCAGGCTAGGTTGAATCAACAGAAACACTTCAAGGCAGTCGTGCTACCTCATAATGATGATTGTGCGTTTTTGCATACATGCAGATGCAAAAACGCATACTACGACGACCGACGGTGTGCGTCTGTCTGTAATTTTGTGTGTGTATGTGTGTCTGTCTGTTTGCCCGGGCATTTCAACCCGGCAACGAAGGAAACTGTGGCGCTGAAATTTTGTAAGCGGATTTTTCAACCAAGTACCACCCCAGGGCCGGAATACCAACCTTCACACACATTTGGGCGGGTAAGATGGTAAATCAGGAATCTGAGAAGCCGGAAAGTTGAAATTTCAAGGGAATGTTCCCCGTCCCCGAAGTACTTAAAGATTTCGAAATCAGTTAACAAATATACGTGGTTTTCAAGTACGGTTCCGCACTTTTAGTGGAAAATTGCCAACTCGGGAGCTAGAAAACTTGGAAAGCCAAAATTTTGAAGGAATGTTCCCTGCTCATGTACGACTAAAACATTTCAAATTCTCATGGAGTTTTTTTCGCGCACTAGCAGCCTTTTGTTTGTCGCGTCAATGAACCAACATCGACAATTGGCACATCACATAGCTGCACAAT